TCGAGTGTATTCTATGCAAATAAGCTCACTCAATCGTGGAAAGGAAATAAAGCTCCACCTAATGGAGCCAATCCTAAGAGACCGACATATACGCACTGTGGTTTCTTAGGACATACAATGGATAAATACTATAAAAAACATGGTTATTCACCTGGTTCTAGGAATAAACTGATAAATATATCAAATGTTAATCAAGATAGTGTTTAAATGGCAGAGACAGGTTCGAATGTGACTGCCTCTCAAGTGAAGTTCAATTCTTCTCTGTGTGACAATTCATAAGTTTTGCCTTCTACTTTTTCTAAAGAACAATACAATAAGATCCAGACATGGGTTCAACCATCAGCACTTTCACAAACCATTCCTCAGATTAATACAGTTTCTACAAATTTCTAGCCCATTCATGAACCAACTACTATTCATTCCTCTTTTTTCAGTCCAATAAAGCCAAATGAGTGGATAATTGACTCTGGGGCACTTGATCATATAGTTAGGTCTAAGGAGCTGTTTGTCACATATAGACAAGTAGATAACTTACACATAAAAATGCCAAACTCTCAAATTACCAAGGTTACTCACATAGGTGATGTACATATTTCACCTTTGCTTGTACTTAAAGATGCATTATTTGCTCCATAATTCTCTTTTAATCTTGTGTCAATGAGCCGCTTCTACAACACTCTAAATATTGTTTAACATTCAACAATGGTTATTGTACTATTTAGGATATGAGCTGCCAGAAGATGATTGGTATAGCGAAGAAAGGCATGGACTGTATCACCTGAAACCACTAAGGACCAAAGATCTTTATGTTGTAAATTCTATTATTAGATCAAATACTTAAGACTCTTCTTAATTTGTCAATAATAAAAATCTTTGACATTTCTGTCATGATCATATTTCTTCGCCAAGACTTCAAATACTTCATGAGATTGAAAATTCTATTGTTCCTTATTCAAACATTGTATGTGACATCTGTCACTTTGCTAAACAAAAGAAAATCTCTTTTGCAATCAGTAAATCAACTAGTGTTCATTGTTTTGATCTTGTTCATATTGATATATGGGGACCAGTCTCCATTTCTTCCTTATATGGTTACCATTATTTTTTGACTATTGTTGATGATAAAAGTAGGTATGCGTGATTGTTTCTTATGAAAGCAAAATCTGAAAGAAGGAAAATAGTGCATGACTTCTTTACATACGTTAACAATCAGTTCAATGCAAATATTAAAGTGGTTCGAACGGATAATGGGCAAGAATTTAACGTGGCAGAATATTATGCAGAAAAAGGTGTTTTATACCAAAAATCCTGTCAATACACACCACAACAAAACAGTGTGGTGGAAAGGAAACACCAACATATAATGAATGTAGCAAGGGTTTTAAGATTTCAAGCTGCTTTGCCTATGAAATTCTGCACTGATTGTGTCATGCATGCCACGTATTTAATCAACCGTATAGCTTCCCTAATCATTAGCAATAAAACTCCATTTGAGCTCTTGTTCAATACTCCAACTCTAAAACATCTTAGAGTTTTTGGTTATCTTTGTTATGCCTCTATACTTTATCCTCATCGTTCTAAATTTGATCCTCGTGCATCCAAATGTCTATTTCTTGGATATCCATCTCAAATAAAAGGCTACCGTGTCCGTGTCTATGATCTTCAAACTCAGAGTCTTCGTTTCTGAAGATGTCAATTTTGGTTAGCATGTTTTTCCTCATGCATCCATGTCCTCGAATATTGAATGTCCTGTGCTTCATTTCACTGATGATTTTATGACGAAATTTGACAACTTAATCGGGTCTTATAGACAACAGGGTGATACAGTGCAATGCCACCTCTAGTGCACCAGTTAATTTTGGTAATCCTCCTTCACCCTTCTCCTTATTTCTAATTTTGTTGCTAACCAAAATGTTGAACCAGTATCTACAGAAACTGATCCTATTAGAGCCATAGAGTTTGTTCATAATGTTACCACAAAACCACAGCCAACAAGGAAGTCTACTAGGTTTGTAAAACAACCAGTTCGATTTCAAGATTACCATCTATATGGTTTAAAGCCCCAGGTCAACTCCATTTCATCAACACCACGTTGTATTTCCCATGTACTGTCATATGACAAAATTAGCTCAAAATATAAACCATTTGTCTCATCTATCTCTAAAGATATTGAGCCTAAGACCTACAATCAAGCAATCCAATTTCCCCATCAGAAAGAGGCAATGCTTGCTGAATTGAAAGCACTTGAAGAGAACCAAACTTGGGACTTGGTTACCCTACCATTTGATAAAAGGCCTATCGGTTGTAAATGAGTTTACAAAACAAAGAGAAAGGCTTATGGGTCTGTTGAGCTATACAAAGCCAAATTAGTGGCTAAAGAATATATGCAACAATCTGGTCTCAATTGTTTGGACACCTTATCTTCTGTTGCAAAGTTGACTACCATCAGAACTATTTTAGCAGTGGCTGCAGCTAAAGGCTGGTTTTCGCACCAGCTGGATATAAATAATGCCTTTTTACATGGTGATCTGCATGAGGAGGTGTATATGACTCTTCCACCTGGTTTTCAAGTTTCTCACAAAAATCAAGTATGTAAATTGAAGAAAAGTTTGTATGATTTAAAGCAAGCCACCTGACAATGGCACTTTAAGCTTACAGATGCATTAAGAAGCCAAAGGTTTTTGCAGGCTTATGCGGACTCATCATTATTTCTTAAATACAATGATTCTTCATTCATTGCTTTGGTCATATATGTAGATGATGTGATTTTAACAAGTAATGATTTTTCTCAAATTCAGTCAGTCAAGACATATTTGCATGATCAGTTTAGAATCAATGATCTTGGTGAATTGAGATTTTTCTTGGGCCTGGAGGTTGCTAGATCACATGCAGGTATTAATATTTGTAAGAGGAAATACACTTTGGATCTATTGAGAGACATTGGTTTTATTGGTTGTAAGTCAAGCCCCACTGCCATGTCTTCATCTCTTAAACTTTCTCGGCAGGACAGTTGATGTCACTAAATATCGCCAACTTATAGGGAAATTGTTGTATCTTACAAATACTCGTCCTAATATTTGTTATGTTGTGCAACAACTTTCTCAATTTTTAGATGCGCCTACTCAAATGCGTCTGCAAGCTGCTCACCGGGTCTTAAGGTATCTCAAAGGTACACTTGGACAAGGGGTATTTTATCCCAGCTAGAATTCTTTCCATTTCAAGGCTTTTAGTGATTCCGACTAGGCAACTTGCATTGATTCTCGACGGTCTATCACTGGTTTTTGGATTTTTCTTGGAGAGGCAATTGTTTCTTGGAAAACAAAGAAGCAGAATACTGTCTCTTGGTCTTCTTTCGAAGTAGAGTATAAGGCTTTGGTTGCAGTCATATGTGAGTTGCAGTGGCTGAAGTACTTGTTTAGTGATCTGCGTCTACCTTTTTATACAACAGTTTTATATTGCGATAACTTGTCATCTATAAAGATTGCTGAAAATCCGGTCTTTCATGAGAGAATCAAACATATGGAGTTCGATTGCCATGTTGTCCGGAGAAAACTTTCAGAAGGTCTTATTCATTTGCTCTCAGTTCCCTCCTTCCACCAGCTAGCAGACTGTTTCACTAAGGCTTTAGTTGTCTCACTATTTCAAAATGCTATGTCCAAGATGGATATACAAAACTTTTATACTCCACCTTGAGGGGGGTTATTAGAGTACTTAACAAGTTTTGTTAGGATTATAATTAATGTATTTTGTTGGGTTTAGTTTGTAAATATTATAACTATAGGGTTTACTTTGTAATAACTTTTCTGTATAAATACCAAGATCCCCAATTAATAAAAGATAAGAAAGTTCATTTTACAAATATCTTCAACATTAGTTCTCTCTCATTTTCGAACTACACTTTCAGATTTCTCACAATTTCATGTTTCTCTGAATCTTGTTAATTCTTCTGTTTCATGAGCTTTAACGAAAAGGATGATCTACTATGATATTAGAAAATATGTTCAATGGTTTTACATTGCTGTGACTGTTGGCCTGTGTTTTAGGTGTCTTCAAAGTTTATCTTTTCCTTTACTTCAAGTTGTTCACAATGTTACTGTCTTTCTACAGGGGTCGAAAGTGGAATCCTCTTCGTGAGCGATTAGATAGCTATGGGTACACTGTGAAGCAACACATAGTTGGATCTCTTCTGTTTACTCCACTTTTACTTCTTTTACCAACAACTTCTGTCTTTTATATTTTTTTCACCATGATATCTACATTGATCAGCTCCGTTTCTATACTGATAGAAATAGCCATATCCATTATTCATGCTACCCCTTACATTAAAATATTTCTTTGGTTGGTGAGGCGGAGAAGATTTCCATCTGGCATCTGGTTTGAAATTATGACTTGCAAGAGTGACACCCCTGATTCTCAAGAGGTTGCTTGTCTTGGTAACCTTGGTCCACCGTCTGAAGGTTTACAGGGGGATAATTTTCCAAATAGAAAGGCATCTACTGTTCTGGTTTCTACTCTCCGCAGTAACTTGTTAAGTATAGGTGAGGTCTTGAACCTTTTGTTTGTGCAAACTCTCTTACTTGAAGCACAAGCTAAACAAAGACATGCCCTTGCACGAAGATGGAATGATGATGATATTGACTTATGAAAGTATTTACACCCTCTTCATTGTCTATCATGTTTGCAACCTTCCATCTGTGGCACAAAGTTTACATTCGTTCTTGAACACTCATATTCACCAGTGACTTAGAAGTCACTTGTATAAACCGGACTGGTGTTTTGAAATTACATAATGAAGACATTTGTTTGGGTGGCCTGTATTGTTTCTGGGCTACGTTATGCTAACTGTTTCCATAAATGTTGCAGGACAAGTACTCTTGCCTCACTATAAGAAGGTTTTTTCAGGGATATCTGGTTCATTTTCTGCAATTTCAGCTTATGGAGTTCTAACCGGGAGAAGGTGACTTCTCTTTATATGGATCTGCATTAATATAATATGTATTAGTTGGAAGCTTGATCTCTCTCATGAAATGTCTGTTAAATACTTTTTTTTCCCAGAATGCCCTCTACTTTAGGTGTTGGTTTGCCTTTCCACAAATGCCATGGATGTCAGTTCCCTTCAAGCAATACTGGTGCCTTTGTCGCAATTCTATTCTTTCATGCATGGCGGACCACAACAATCATTTGGCGTAGTTCAGTGATTTTAGGCAATGTTGAATTTCTTCTTTGTCGATTCTCAATCATTTGATGAGCTCAAGTTCTTATCTCCGGTAGGCTTGAGACCCATTTTACCACTTGACTGCATAAGCCTTCCACTTCGGTTTGCTTGTAGTAATGACAAAATTGGCATGATTTTCAACAATTTAATATTTTATGATTTATGTTTTTATTTACATAAAAATTTTAGTTTTTTAAATTATTAATATATTAACATATTAAAAGAAAATAGTGAGAGTTAATTGAGTTATAGTTTTAAAATGATATGTATCTATTACAATCTTATGACATTTAATCTTTAAATTGTATTTTAAAGAATCTAAAAATGATTTTTTTCTAACACTCCTTTTTGTTTATAATTTAATTTAATTATATGTTCTTTTCATATTCACCATGTCCTTAAATTAATCATTCATAATATACCTCAGAATCAGTAACCCATTAACTTATCTAAATTTAAATCGATAATGGCAAACACCAAGTACAAAAATGACATAGCTATAAAGCTTCAATTATAACATATTATTATTTAAATTTTATCTATGATTGTCAAAAAATGTGTTTTAAATTCTAACATATTGTTATTTGAATTTTATTTATGATTGTCAAAAAATGTGTTTTAAATTCTAATTGCTTAAGAGCCTTTTTAATATGTTAATGAAAAAGGAGTTTATATAGGATCATATATTAAATTATAATTGGTCTTAAAATATTAAAATATTATAAAGTGATAAAATTTAGTCGCTTACTTTGTGGTATAGGTCTATTAGTTTTAAGTAATTTCGTCCATTATGATTGAGATACATAACTAAACATACAAACACAAGAGAGAAATTGAAGATAGATAAAGGAAAATTCGTAAGTCAAGACAAGAATATTTGAGAATGAATTATGTGTTCTTGTGTTGTTGTCTCCATTAATCACCATGAATACCATATTAGCATCATAACTACTCTTGTCAATGATATTTCTATTATTACTATATCACTGTTCCCACTCTCATCAACATCTCAATGGTTATTATTGCAATCTCGTCACCATTAACTTTATTCTTATCACATATTAATACTATAATTATTATTACTAGAACTACTATTATGCTATTTATTATCATTATCTTTATTATTATAAATCTTACATTATCACCATCATTTTTATGTTATTGTGGCCTTCAACACTTCCCCACACATTTTAGTTATAGGTCACTATTATTGTCATTACTCTCATGGTAAACCATTATTATTGCTATTATTAATATTACTAACATTGTCTATACCACCATTACTTCACTCTTACATGCCAACACGGTTAGTAAAGACACTCTTACTACCATCATTTTCAATATAGTCACATTTATAATTATTATATATATATATATATTATAAATGTTTACTGTTATTATTATTATCGTCGCTAATTATTATCTTTATTTATTGATATGAACAAAAACAAAGTTCTTGTACCATACCATACCGATCATTTTATTACTCAATTGTTTTAATCATGCAAGAAAATAATAATTTTATTTATTATCAGTTGTCATTATTCAAATCACTTACTTATTAATCATAATCTAAATATACAACGATATGAATTTAATTTTTATTAATAGAATTTTGAAAATAAAATTATTGTTCAATCAAACCTTTTGCATCCCCATTAGAAAAAGTCTAAAAATATGAAAATAGTTCAAAAAACATATTAACCCACATTCAAATATTTATGTAAAGAAAATAAGACACAAAAGTAGTGTAAGTAAGTAGTTGACAAAATTTAAAACATTTAATTTTCTGTTTAAACCAAGGTGTCGTCTCACAAAAATTGATACATTTGGCATATTTCATTAATTATGATTCAAATTTAAAGAAAAGGCAAATTGGACCACCAAACCTTATCTTATAAATTATTTTCACACTACTATAATGAGTTTGATTCTGAATTCAAATGTATGGAGAAATTGAATTGACTATTTAATTAATTTATTAAAAAAAAGGTTTCAAAAATAAGCTCTAACCGTTTCAATTATTGGACAAAAACAGCAGGATAGTTTTAGTTTTGTGAAGTCGTCTTGGGTGGACTCACAAAACCAAAATCTGACCCACCCACCTAACCACGTGTCACCACCACCACCTAACAAATAAGTAATAAATTAAATTACTTCAATTAAAATAGTATAACTTAATTTTAATTAATTACAATTGCATATTAATCACATCAAATTAAATAATTTTCTTACAAATATTCGTAATATACACTTAAATATTGGTCGTTCGTTTCCTCTCCTCCACTTCTTACTGGGGGGAAGGAAGAGTCAACATTGACAATAAAGTCAAAACGGTTAGCCGACGGTCGTCTTTCTCAAACGTCATCATCCACTAGTCATCTGCCACCGCGACGGTTGCCGCCCATCATCCCGCAGCCAATCATCGCCACGTCCCCGTACCTCGTCGCGTACGCGGCGCGCGTTCTCGTCCTCTTTCTAATAACTGCCGTAGACCCTTCCTTTGTCCCGTTTCGCCGCGCGCTAACTGATAATCCCCACCCTCGCCTCCGGAATATATATTTTCACGCGCCGCCGGGGCAGTGTAGTGACTGAAGCTAGTAAATCATAAATGTGAGCGTAGTAAAAACTGGAGACGAAAAGAATAGCAAGTTGAGGAGTGGACGGATATAGGATATGTTTGGATATGGCTTTAAATCTGCCAGCTTTCCAATTTGATTTTGATCTTCCCTTGGTTATACAATCATATATCAAAATAATAACACTGGTGTGTGTGTATCGTATATATACATAGAAGCACGTTTTCCAAAGAGAAGAAAAGAGAAAAAAAAAAAAAAAAGGGAGTAAAATCATGATATCCGATGGGAAACAAGTTGGTGTTTATGTCTGTCTATCTTTTATACGTTTGGTTTTTCTGGTGTATATGAATACGTATGGATAGTGTTGAAGTCAACGAGAGAAAAGAGTTGTGAGGAAATTAATCTCTGACTCCATTAGCATTATTGCAGTTGCAGTTGCAGTTCGCAGAGTAGTAGTATAGGTCTTTGGGGTGCGGAAGCTAATACTGGATTCTGGATAAATATCGAATGGATTTCACCACTCTCTCTCTCTCTCCCACCAGCATTGTCCTCCCTCCCTGCTTCTTTCTTTCTTTCTTTCTTTACTGTAAATAATGACTGATTCATTGTATAAGATGGCTATTTTTAATGTACTTTTCTATATGCAAAATGTAGGAAATTGTCTCATAACTAAATTATAAAACAGGATTTACAAATAAGTTTCATGTAATTGAACTTAGAACCTGTTTATTTAATTCTGTGGATCTAATTAATTAATTGTTGGACTTCTTACACTATATAACTATACTTGATCGAAAACAATGGAACTGGTTAAAAATTAAATTAGAATTCAACCATATTCATTAAAACATTTGTTGCCGTAAGCTAAAGTATTTATGTCTCTTCATTAAAAAAATAAATCTGATTGCTTAAATACATTAATTTTATTTATTTAAAAATTACAACAACAACGAAAACACATTAAAATTTTTTAAGTACACGTGGAGTTGGGTAGACTGTACCGTACAGCCACACTCGACACACTTCCAAAACGGATAAGAACATAGCCGAGGCCTCGCCATTTGCCACCATTCAAACCCACCTCCGGCTATAAATTCCTCTCTAACCCACCATTATCAGTCACCATCTACCCAAAATAATACACTCAATTAAAGCGACTGATACCAGAGAGATTTCTAGATTTTGAGAGAAATGGAGGGTGCCGAGAAGCGTTCTTTCGAGTTACAGGAACAGCAATCCTCATTGCAGCCGAGCCCGCGGAAGAAGATAATCACGGTGGCGGCGATCGCGGCGGGGGTCCAGTTCGGCTGGGCCCTACAGCTCTCTCTGCTCACTCCATACGTGCAGCTGTTAGGGATCCCTCACAAATGGGCCTCACTCATCTGGCTCTGTGGACCCATCTCCGGCATGCTCGTTCAGCCCATAGTTGGTTACCACAGCGATCGCTGCACCTCCCGATTCGGCCGCCGTCGTCCTTTTATCGCCGGCGGAGCCGCTCTTGTTGCCATTGCCGTCATACTCATTGGTTATGCTGCCGATATCGGGGCTCACACCGGTGACTCCATGTCCGATTCCCCCAAAACCCATGCCATTGTTGTGTTTGTCGTCGGATTTTGGATCCTCGACGTGGCTAACAACATGTTGCAGGGTCCATGCCGAGCCCTCCTCGCTGATCTTTCCGGGAGCAACCAGAAACGGATGCGAACTGCCAATGCCTTCTTCTCCTTCTTCATGGCGGTCGGTAACGTTCTGGGTTACGCCGCTGGGTCCTACACTCACCTCCACAACGTATTCCCATTTTCCAGTACGAAAGCTTGTGACTTGTACTGTGCGAATCTCAAGAGCTGTTTCTTCATCTCCGTTATGCTATTGCTCGCGATAACCACGGCGGCTCTCATTTACGTGAAGGAAACGCCATGGGCACCGGAAAATGTAGGTGACGGCGGCGACGAGGGATCGTCGAAGGCAAAGATACCGGTCTTTGGGGAAATATTCGGTGCATTGAAGGATTTGAAGAAGCCAATGTGGATCCTACTTTTGGTGACGTGTCTGAACTGGATTGCTTGGTTCCCGTTCTTGCTGTTCGACACGGACTGGATGGGGAGGGAGGTGTACGGTGGAGATTCCGGCGGAAGCGACGATGCGAAGCGGGTCTACAACGTTGGTGTGCGTGCGGGTGCATTGGGCCTGATGCTCAACTCCGTAGTGTTGGGGTTGACGTCTCTGGGAATGGAGTTGTTGGCGCGTGGAGTTGGGGGGGTGAAGAGGCTGTGGGGTATTGTGAATTTCTTGCTGGCTTTCTGTTTGGCCATGACCGTACTCGTCACCAAATTGGCTGCCTCGAGCCGCCGGTTCACCACTGCGGCTGGTGGAGGTTCAGTAGCCTTGCCTCCGCCGGTCGGAATCAAAGTCGGCGCGTTGACTCTGTTCGCTGTTATGGGCATTCCTCAAGCTGTAAGTTTGGATTTATTCGTTTTAAAATTTTAATTTTAGAATTTAAAAAAAAAAAGGTTTTATATATATATAAAATTTATGAATTCTAATAAATAAATTAGAATATAAATAAAATGAGTAAAATACATGAGCCAGCCATAAAACCCCCGCCTATGATTTTATCAAACCAAACACGGCTGGCTTCTCTCTTCCTTAAATGCATACAAATTGTAGGTAACCCATTAAATGCCATACTAAGATTTAAGTGTGCAAGTTGTACTTTTCTTCTTCCTTTTTCAATATTGTTGCACTAATTGTTTTTTATTATTCATGCAGATAACTTACAGCATTCCTTTCGCTTTGGCATCCATTTTCTCAAGCACTTCCGGTGCAGGCCAAGGTACCCCAACCAAACAATACGATTTATGTAATTTTCCCGGAAATATAATCTAACTAACTCACCTTCTTTTAATATTAAATTATCTCCAGGTCTTTCGCTCGGAGTTCTGAATCTTGCCATCGTTATACCACAGGTCAGCGAGCATGACATAATTCGTTTCTAATTTTTTATCATTACCAAAAAAAAGTATAATTATAATTTTTATCAAGAACAATTATTTTTATACAATTTTTATATTTTATCTTGAGACACAAAAAATAAAAAATAATACAGTAAAGAAATTTCTGGTGTTTTGTTTTTATAGATGGTGGTTTCGGTGGGTGGTGGACCGTTTGATGCCTTATTTGGAGGTGGTAACTTGCCGGCATTTATAGTAGGAGCAGTGGCCGCCGCAGCAAGTGGAATATTTGCACTGACAATGCTTCCATCACCACCGCCGGAAGCCTCCCATGCGAAAACAGCCGCCGTTGGATTTCATTAAACCCAAATTTAAGCCGACATTCCTTCTACCCACCTTGTTTTTTCTTCTGCTTTTCTCGTTTGTTTCGGAGGAGATCGCGGGATTCCCAAAAGGAAAAACGAAACCAAAAAAAAAAAAAAAAGAGGGGGTGTTTTCTCTTCACATGGACGACTGGTAGTAGTTTTGTTGTGAAAAAGAAAACAAAAGGTGGGCCTAGAAATGTTGAACTTGCATGAAGTTATGAACAACTTTCTGTAACGGCCCCATTTTGTTTTTCACCTTGTTGTGTATTTAACATTTGAGATAAAATCCAAACTGGTTTAGTTCAGTTCGAAATCGAATAAAAAGTGAAAATATTCAGATTGAAGGTGAGAGGGAAGAGAGGAAGAGCAAAGATGCCGAAGAAGGAGAAGCAAAAATAATGAAGTACAGGAACAACAAAAAAAGCGATTGTGTGGGAAGGACGATAGCAATTGGTGCTTTGGGAGCGGAAGATAAACCAATATAAACAATATCTAAAAGACAGAAAGAAACTGAATAAAAAATCACATTGATTAAAAAAAAAAAAAAGTAATTAAAACTAAAATAGTTTTAAATATCAAATTTTTAAGATTAAAATAAAAAGGATGGTAGAACAAATCATATTAATTTAATTTTATTAAATTCAGCCTAGATGTATTTTTTTAAAAATATATTTTAATTTAAATAAATAACTAAGCATTTTCTTAGAATTTTTTTTTTTTTATGGAATATAGCTATAAAAAAAAAATCAAAACTGATAATGATAATTAACATTTGAATTAATATAATAAAAACAGTAAAATATTATTTTTATTTGGAATTTTAAATGCAGTTATTAATAAACAAATGTGAACTTTGAACAGCATCTTGTAGCCTAAACGATTATTTAAGGTTCTAATTTACAGTTGTTTAACACAAAATTTATATTATTTTAGAAAAATATATGCACTTTAATAGTATACAAAAAATTTATTTTTTAAAGCTTTTGAAAAAAATACTCTACCTTGCATTTATTTTAATTTTATTCATTAAGTTTATATGCTTTTTTTTTTTTTTTTTTTTTTTTCTTCAAAAGGTATTAATTTTTCATGTTAATTATTTAATAAAATATAAATCAGTCATAATTTACACTCGTGGCGTAACTAATGTTTGTGTAATGAAATTTACCGTAATAATATTTTTTAATAAAAAATTACTTTTGGTAAAAATATCTACAAGTTATCAAATATAAATTGATATTTTTTAGTGGTTACAACAAAATACTTTCCACTGGACAACAAAACTTTGGTATGATAATAACGTGAACCAACCGCTCCGTGACCTCTTGACAGACTAAATAAATAAATGGACACGCTTAGGTTCTTTTATCATCCCCTCCAAACATTCGAATTTTTCACCTCATAAAATCAAAGAAAGTCATAAGTAATTCTTTAATCTTCTTTCTTCAAGTTCTCGCTATCGCCAATGGATAGTTGTTTCTTCACCCCGGAGATCGGAACGTCGTCGTCTTCAGATCCTCGCTACGCGTACAAGCTTCTGTTGCGCGCACTCTCGCTAATCCCTGTTTGGCATTACGCTTTAGGTTTTGTCTTCTTCTTGGTTGTTTGGCTTTATCATTTCTTGGAATTTCATTTCCTTGAAGATGTCTTCGGCCGATTCCGCGGCAGCCTTGTTAAGCTGACATACAATCCCGACTCCCATGTCTACCACGGCGTCGTCTCGAAGTGCCGAATTCTTCACGGCAGGTGAAACAGAACGGGATATAAATGAGACGTTTGTTTTCTCTCGACAAGTATTATTTCAACAACATGAAATATTTTCACCCGGACAAATCTTGTTTCAACGTTATGTTCCGTAGATAACGGGGAAATGGTGATAAATTGGGAGACCTTGCTTTCCTCTGACCATTTTGGTTAGCATTGTGGAAGGACTAATATAATCTTGGCTTTGAAGAACAAACACATTTTTCAACGCTTCTGTCTCCTGAAAACAGTTTCTGATTTTGAATTTTAAAGAAATCTCACCGTCATTTGTTTTCTTTTTTCAATTTCAAGTTAACATATATGCTTCTCTAAACACAATGCAGGTGAAAAAAAACTGAAAAAAACTTTTTCACTAATCGAGCATACCATTGGTTTCGAAGAATTTTGTTTTCTTGTGAATTGACAGAAACGTTTTCTCTTTAACTTTTCACCTACCGAGTATACCCAGGTTTCTTTGGTGCTGCAGGTATTTGGCGACGCCATGGTTGTCAAGTCCTAATATTCAGACTTGTTTTTTGAATTTCTTTGGGAGGCCTCCCGTTTTCAATTACAGGAGGTGATTACTGTTGACGATTCTTGTTTCATAGTTTAAAAATGTAAAATATTTTCACTGACAGATATTGTTTTTCTTTGATTAGAATGAGTTTGTTTAGTTCACTTCTAACTATTCAAGTTATAGTGTCTGTTAATTCTCTTTTATTATTCAACAACTACAGCATAAGGATGTAACTTCGTGTATTTCTTTAGCTGTGACTTCAGGCTTTACTTGTGCTTATTGCTTCGCCCTTTTCATTTCTCGTTGATTTCCTTTCATTTTATGGACATGTAACCAGTGTTTTAAATATATATATTTTCTCTCAGACAGCTCTTTCGTGCTTCTGATGGTGGAACCATTGCTTTGGACTGGCTATTGTCTTCTGATGGTAAATCCAAATACAAATATGTCTAACAAAATTTTGTGTATGTACATTGCATTCAGATGTCTATTCATTCTCATGTTTCTTATCATGGGTTTTCTGTTCAACTGAAGCAAGTAAACTGTTGTGAGCCAAAAGTGAACAGAGTCATTCAAGATGGAACCATTAGGTGGTAAACATTTTACTCATGGGAGGAAGAAGAAAAATTATCCATTAGTACTGTTAGAGAACATTGTGTTTGTTTTTATCAATAATTGCTTATCCTGAAGAACCAGTAAACTGGAACAGCAGATGATTATTTATTATGTACTACCTATATATGACTAGTCAAGTTATGGGTGTATTTTCTTATTAAAGTTTTGAGTACTTTCTTACTCAAATGATCATTATGTTCTCTCTCCACGAGCCTAAACCATTGAAGCAAAAATAGGTTATAAGACTAGGAAATCTTGGGGAAAATTTGCAATCTTTTGTCTGATTTTCCAGTATCTAGACCTATAACCAGATCCATAAGAATGGAATATACTAATTTGGTATTGCAACTAGTGCTTATGGGTGATTTACGATCTTTATTTGAGAATTGCCTCAAAATCCTCTCATGAGAATGTTTGACTCATCAGGAATCAAGCTGAGGCAACTGGTTTTGGAGTATATAGTTATAATGGAATAGGGAATGTTGACAATAGAAGAAGGTTGATCGAATTCAAATTGGTATTTCGTGATATCATCTGATTTACTCCGTTTTGTATTAGTAGAACTCTCAATCATAGGGTACAATAGTAGTGACAACATTGGTACGAAGGACAATTGACATTTTGATGTAGGGCAAATTATGGATATCATCTGATTTATTCGGTTCAATACTTGTACAGCTCCAAATCATAGGGTACAACAGTAGTAACAACCTTGGCATGAAGAACAATTGACATCTTGATGTAGGACAAATCAGAATTAATTTGCTTATTTAGGTATTTGGGAGTTAAAAACTAGATGTTACACCTAGGTGTTTTTAGGCATTAAATCTAAACAATCGTAAGTACTGAATTTAGGAGTTTGGTTGCATCATAAAACCAGAAATTCAGAAACTCTCAAAGTATTTTATTGAATAATTAAATTTTGTTTCAGCAAGTACAATTATGAATGCATTTAAAATGGTTTCTTAGTAAATTGTACTAAATAGTATTAAGCTAAGAAATACTACAAACTAATAAGATTGGACATACTCCTTTTGATAACAAAGGAAACTAATGCTAATAAGATTAGAAATACTACTCTTAATTGAATAAAAAATAATACTAATGCAAATAGAAAAACAAAATAATGATAAGAATAGGATTGTGAAATCTTGATGGTAGGATAAAATCACTAGTCTGACTTTATATCTTTCTATTATACCATCGACTTTTTATTTTGAAGTGAACACCCATTTGCATTCCATCAGCCTTTTTCCTGTAGGTAGATTCTCCACTTCCCGTGTTTTGTTCTTTTCTAATATTGCATTTCAGTATTTATAACATCTTTCTACTTTCCACAAGATAATGTTTCAGATATATAGTGAGAATAAACATTGTATTTAAACTCATGAAAAAACTTTTGTGAGATACTGAACATTATTCAAATGACATAAAATATGATAGTGGATATAATGGATGTTTAGTACATTTTTTTAGTTCCTTTCTAAATTGCAATGAGTACATCAATATCAAACGGGCATGAAATTATCAAGACTTACATCTTTTCCAGAATTCGAGTCTCTTACCTCGTTTCTAGGACCCAAGTCTATTGCTTGGACTTGTTTTGGTTAAGGATCCAGTTTTTTCTTTCTTGAGTATAAACCTTAAGGTCATGTAAGGTCAAAGCATCATGTTCTGGGTTTTGAGGTGATTCCAGGTGGTTTTTTGAAGTTTGAGATGAGTGAAATATATTTGCTAGTGACGGCGAAGGTAAGGGTGGGTAAAAAAAAATGTTTGTCTCTATTTCCTGCTATAGTCTCTTATGAAAATAAGGATGATTGAAGTAGGACTTAAACTCAACAAATTTAACACCCAGTAAGATATAGAAATTTTTCAATAGGTGAATGATAAAATTTGGGTGGAGAAATATCTCATAAAAACATATTTGAGAGCTCTCATATATGGTTTCCCTCTATATTGTTAATATTATTAAGAATGGTTGAATGTGTATTTTATTGAATAATACAACCTCACATATACATGTTTTGTAAAAGAAATAAACAATTAATTATATAAAGCGTAAGTTACTCTAAAATCCTTTAACCTAATTATATATAGTACACACTCTTTGACACTTCCTCTTAAGATAGGGAATATATGTCATTCATTCATAACTTGTCAATGATAGTCTGGAATGTTTGATTATTCAGGTCTTTGGTCAACACATTTGAAAGTTGTGAACTGGTCGACATATAAAGAGTACATATTAAACTATTGTCTAGCTTTTCTTTAATAAAATGCTTGCCATGCTCAGTATATTTGATCCTGTCATGTTGCATTGGGTTATGAGCAATACATACGGTTGATTAATTGTTACAATATAGAAGCATGAGGCTAACTCACTTGATTTTTGGATCTTTTAAAAGTATTTTTAGCCATAGTAGTTAACATATCCTTTAAGATATTGCTCAGAATTTTAATTCTTTTGTCGATTTTGCAACTACATTCTGCTTCTTATTTATCCAAGTGATCAAGTTACTCTAACGAAGGTATAATAACTTGTGGTAGATTTTATATCCACCACTAATCCTACATAGTTTGCACATATATAAGTTTTAGGGGTAACGTGTCATTCTTTCTAGCATGATCCGTTTTGTAAGTGTCATTTTTAGATAATGTAACATTATGTAAGTTGCCTTAAGGGCATTTCTTTAAGGCTGTGTATGAATTGACTTATAAGACTCACGACAAAGGTAATGTCTGGTCTTGTTTTTAATAGATATATTAATCTCTTAACTAGTATTTGATATATTTCTTTATCTAAAAGCATATCCTCTTCAGTCAATCCCAATTTATGATTAGAATAGGAGGATTAGCTGATTTACATGTTAGGTTGTTGATATCTCTTAGCAGGTCATAAATGTATTTTTACTGGGAGATGAAAATCTTAAACTTTGAACGGATGACTTCAATTCCAAAAAAGTACTTCAGCTTACCTAATTCGTAGATATTGAACTCTTTGCTAGATATTATTTGAGTGTCAATTTTTCTTTTTCATTGTCTCCTATTACAATGATGTCATCAATATATACTAAGAGAGGTATAACTCCCATTGACTCAGAGTGCTTGATAAGCAGAGTGTATCTTCTTGAATATGCTTATATCCCATGCCTATTAGCACCCTTTCAAATTTGCCAAACTAAGCTCTAGGTGTTGGTTGAATCCATTAAGTGCCTTCTTCACTTTACATACTTGGTCCTACTCCTATGGCAAATCTTGGTGAAATCTCCATATAGATTTCTTCTTGCAAATCACCATGTAAGAAAACATTCTTTGCATCAAATTATTACAGTTGTTAATCAAAATGAACAATTAAAAATAGCAAAATTAGTGCTGTATTCATCTTGGTTACAAATGCAAATGTTTCTTAATAAGCGGAGTGTGGTATCTTTGAGTATGCTTATATATCAAGCCTATTATCACTCTTGTAAATCTGCCAAACTAAGCTCTAAATATTGGTTGAGTCCATATAGTGCCTTCTTCAGTTTATGATCTTGCTCCTATGATAAGTTCTGGTGAAATCTCCATAATAGATTTTTTCTTGCAAATCATCGTATAGGAAAACATTTTTTACATTGAATTATTATAGTTGTCAATCAAAGTGAATAGATAAAGAAAACAAGATTGGTGCTGTATTCATCTTAGTTTTTGGTTGGATGTTTTTTGATGGTTATCCTATAGGTCTAGGCATACCTTTTTGTCACCATTCTTGCTTTATAACTCTCGATTGTCCCATCTGCCTTTTACTTTATCGTGAAGATTCACTTGTAATCACTTCCCTTTGGGTAAGTCTCCTATTTCCTATGTCTGGTTCTTCTCTACTGCTTGCATTTCAATATTCATAATATTTTTTCTTTTTTTGTATAATAATATCTTATATATAGTGTTAGGAATAGATTCTGGATTCAAATTTGTAAGAAAATTTTTATGAGATTGAGAACATTTATCAAATGACACAAATTGTGATATAAGATAAAGAGAATGTTTAGTACATTTCTTGATTCCTTTGCAAATTGCAATTGGTAGATCATTATTAGACTTTGTAGGGTTTTTAGGACTTATCTTAGTTCTAAAACTTGTATTTTATGTTTGAACCTACTTCGGCTCAAAACTCAAATTCTTCCTCGTTGTGTACACCTGAGTGAACTTGTGATCAAATATAATTTCTTGAGTGGGTGGGTTCTTTAATGGTATTTGAGGGCTTTTTTGTATTGTTGATGGTGGTATTTGGGTATGTAGTAAGGGTGATAGGGTGCAAGAAATCGGTACCTTTATTTTCCAATATAAGCTCCCTCCTGAAGATAGTATTGGAAAACATATGAGTCATGTTCAACAAAATTGACATCTGCAAACGCATAGAATTTTATTGAGGTGGATGGTAATATTTATACTCATTTTTTATTTCGAAAAATCATCTGTACATTTTTTGAGAAGAAGAGTACCCCACAAACACACACTTTAGTACTGTGAGATCAAATATTTCCTGTTGATGCGAATGAATACAAACAAAGGCTATTTACTCGAATATTTGTGGAACCAGATAGTTTCTGACACTTACTTCTGGATAAGATGTGGAAAGGGTTTTTAGAGAATTTTGAAATTTAAGGGTTATTATAAAATATGCGGCCATAAAGACCTGTTTGCCCAGATATCATTTTGAAATGAACTTTTGAAATAAAAAAAGCCTCTAGTAGTCATAAGAAGATGACAATTCTTGTGTTCCGTCACTCTGTTTTATTGTAGAATTTAGATGACTGATGGTTCGTGAATAATTACTTCTTGATGAAAAAAAATGAGAGTATTTAAATAAGAAGTCTTTGGCATTACCAGTGCGAAACTATTTAATATGGGTTCCAAATTGGGTTTTGATTATATTGCAAAATTAGGATATTATGCAGCTAGCATCTTATTTGAATTTGAGTAAGAAAAACCATGTAACTCTAGTGCAACCATCAACAAATAACACAAATCGTCGAACCCTAGGAATATTGGTAATTAAAGAAAATAAAATCATACTTCTTTTATTGGTAATAGAAAATTGTACATGTTTATGTTTAACAAACTCGCATACATCATAATATAAATTTCATTTTTAGAATTTTTAAATAACAAAGGAAATAGAACATTCAAAATGGAAAGAAATAGATTTCCAAATCGTTTATGGTAGAGCCAAAACTCGTGCTTAGGATAGGTAGAAATAACACAGAGAGATGCACCAAATGCATCCAAGCAATATAATCTATTTTTGGCTTCAGCACGTCTAAATCATCTTTCCCGAGTTATGGTCATGAAAGTTACAGTAGATAAAAATGTCATTTTGCAGTTCAAATTTTGTGATAATTTAATGATGGACATAAGGTTTCAACAGAGTTTAGGAACATATAATTGTTTTATTGAATCAGGATAAGACTAATTTTGATATTACTCTTGCCTGTAATGGTGTTCAGAGAATTATTTATGATAACAATTTTCCTACTATTAGGACATGGAACATAAGTGTGAAAATATTGGTCATATAATCGACGGTCCCTGAGTCTATTATGCATGAATTTTCAAACAGTCTATCTGAAGTATTTTAAACCATATGAGGAAGAAACTATACCTAAATGCTTTCTCAAACATGTACTTGTTGGTTTTTCAAGATTCTCTAGTCTGCTTCATAGTCGTTCAATCTCAATCTTGAATTTCATTAAGATTAGTGATTCATCTTCCTCCTTCTAGTTGGTGACATAGGCTTGTCTATGAGACTTCTACAAAGTGTTCTTGTATCCCCACTCATTGCTTGAGGTATTGGGCTTGTTATGGAGTTTTTAACATTTGTTTTTGGTGTGTTTGAGCTTCTTACCAAAGGTACACCCAAGATTATCCTTGAGTTTTCAGCTTGGCTTAGTTCATTTATCGGTTGATGTGGCTTGAAGTCTTTGAAAATCAGTGCTGAGCTATTAAAGGGGCAGGATTCTAACATGTTTCTTCTCTTGTTTTTTTCTGTAGATACAATACTAATTATCTCATTTAGTGACAATATTTTGTCCTTACCCAAAATTTGGGATCTCGATCAAACTCCTGGTTGGGTCCTGTCAGAAATTGATAGGAACCATATTTATCCACAAATTGCTTGAGGTGAGCTGCATTCTTGCTGCAATACATAGTAAGGCTGTGATACTAGTCCAATTCCTGCCACCAACCTTTTAACATGTTAGATTATTTAAGTGATTGACCTGTTTTCTTGTTTTGTGGATCATATTTTGACTTTTAGCTCATAAACCTGAGCTGTGTCTTTGACTTTAGAATAGTTTCTTGATTGTATCCTACACTTCCTTTATCGTAGACAAGAATATAACTATAAACTTATCTTTGATGGTATAGAATTCTAGAGCAAAGCCATAATCATTGAGTCTTTTAATCCAAAGCATCAAAAGCTGGATCTTTTGGTTTT